CATCACACGCCGATTACAGTTCGAATTTCCACCGATGATGTTAGGTAATCTTTTAGTGAAAGTACTAATGTTCGATGTGAATCCATTGAAGTTAAATGGTTTGTAATGTTCGAAACCATCAGCGTTCAGACAGTGTGAATATTTTAGCTCTTCTGAAAAAATTAAAGAACAACAAGTGGAAAAATATTAGGAAAAAAAATAAGTGTAGGAATGGGTGCACCATAAAGTGAGGAACAAAATAGAAATGGGTATGGTGTAATAAAACTTTCTCTGTATAACCTCACAGGGTGTGCCCAACATCCGGTCCATGCCATGACTTGGTTATTTTTAGAAGCGTTAATTTATCGTAGGTTTCTTTACTTAACTGTGCGAATCATACGTTGTATAGATCAGTTGTCGTAAATTGGTAATTGTTGATTTATTGCGTCATGTTATTAGAACCGTCTAAGCTTTTCTCGAGTATTATTATATCATAATATCTTGTAGTGTGTGGAAAGTTCTAGGCATCAGTTGGGATATTTATAAATACACGTCAAAAATGTAGTTCAAGTAAGACAGAGTTAGTGAAAGATATAGTCAAATAGATCTAAACTGTAATTTTAGCAGAAAGAGTATAGTAACGCCTTTTGTTTAAGTGTAATAATTGCATATTGTAACAACAGAGCAGCCTGTGTGGACTTTTGACAGAAAGAGACTTATTTGAAGCTCTGGATATAACTAGTAGTTAACTGTGTAACGAAGATTTATCTAAACGTTTGACTGGTTTTAATATATTATTTTAAAATAAGTGGACTGTCTGTTGTTTGTTAATTGTTGAAATTTATCGTAAATAAATCGCAAACACCTACTGCAAAGAATCGTACATAAAAAAACCTGAGAATTACTCAATAGTGGCAGTTTCATATTATTCAAGACTTAACTGTTGTTTCCAGTATCCTCTTTGTTTTCTATCACACGTTTCTATTACAATCGGGAAAAATAAGTAAAACAATGTTTTGTTGGTCTTAAGCTTTTAAACCTTAATTTTAAACTATAATTCAAAGAAAAAAGTATGAACTAAAGTATTAACTGTTTTCGTCAGGATATTTTTCAAAAATTAGAAATTGTCAAATTGCTCAAATTAGTCAAATATAGATACTGTTTTCATAACGTCGATACTCAAAGTAGTAAGTGTTTTCATTCAGTATAAAACTGCTTATTTAATGAATACTTTTACATTAACTAGAACAATACACTTACTAATTACTAAAGAAATTGAGTGCGTTATATTAAAATGATTTCAAAACCTCTACGTCGTAACAGTATGTTGTCACGTCCGGTCAGACTCTACCCGACGACCATCTTAACACTAACCCTATATTGAAGTAGTTTCCACTGCACAAGTTCCGTCGCAACGCATTCATGTCTAAAGCACATCCATTTCATTGTTCACTTTACAGATATCAGTAGGCGCTACTTCCAGCAAGTTGACCACCACGTCTTTATACGAAATAGCACAAGTACCCGATAAATTCTCCAGCTCATTGAGATACAGATATTTGACGGGTGAGTTTATATATCATACAAGCAAATTCTGTATGTGTGACTTATGTTGTTCTTCCAGACGGAAATCAATATTGATCATGTAGCATATTATTGCCAAGGAACACGTGGACGGATTTTACCACTGACCTTTGTGTTCGTGGATTCTCATCTGTTAAAACACATTGCGGACGGGTCACGAGTTTACTCGTGTTTCGTGCAGAGCGTCTTTGTGTGCCATTTATTAAAACGTTTTATTTTGTTCGGAAAGATTATAATTTTTCTGATTTTTGCTTGCAATTCGGATGAAGTTAGTGACCCTTGGATTAACAGGAACATTTGTAGAATCGTCATCACTTTCTGATTCAAAATCAGTTGAGAGCACAATAAGTTTACGCATCTTTGTAGGTCTAACAACGTCACTGTAGCTAGAGTTACTGTCAGAATGATCCACAAACACATCAGAATCTTCACTTTCACTTGGAAGATCTGGCAAATTATCATCAAATAGTTCAGTAATTATCTCATCTTCACTCAACACATTAAGTTTTCTACGAAAAGCCATTTATAAAAATATGGGAACCCGAAAGTATTGCTACCGTGACAAGTCTAATGTTTGGAAATACTTTGTCAGGAAATGTATACCTACCATAATCAAACTGCAGAAAAACATCAAATGTCATCTAAAGGACTTCAATGGTCTGAAGTTACACCTACAGACATAAAGAAATTCCTAGGCCTTATTCAACTAATGGGACAGACAAGGAAATATAACTAGAAAAAATATTGGTCAACAGATCCTCTTTTGATCAGCCTACTATTTTCGCAGACATTGAGACGAAACAGATTTGAACAAATTTGGACATTTTGGCATTTCAATGATAATCAGAAAATGAACGAGTCTTCAGGTAGGCTCTTCCAAATTCAACCAGTACTGGATTACTTCCTCAAGGAATTCAGGACACTATACAAACCAAAGCAACAGTTGTCATTGGATGAGAGCATGAATCCATGGAGAAGACGTCTAAGATTCCGAACAAACAACCCTGCAAAAGTTGTGAAATATGATCCGCTAGTGAGACTTGTGTGTGAGAGTGACACAGTTTATATTTGCAACATGGAGATTTATACTGATGAGGGGAAAAATTGTAGGAGACTATTCTTTCAGTTCTTGCTCCCAATCTTGGATTGTGGCACCATGTATACCAGGACAATTATTACAACAGTACTTCCATTGCAAACCTGTTCCTAGAACATAAAACAAGAGTCTACGGAACAACAGAAGGAATAGAGGATTGCTGCCAAGCCTGAAGGCTGAAGTTTCAACGTGATGTCCTCGTTTTCATAAGGAAAGACAAGAGAGAAATAAGTGGTTTCAACCATCCATGATTCATCTGTTTCTACCATAGGAAAGAAATAGAATAACTGGAGAAGAAATATTAAAAACATGTATGTGTTCTCCAATACAATATCCACATGAGAGGTGTTATTCGTGCAAATCATTACCTCTCGTACTACCCCATTCTCAGAAAAACAGTGAAATGGACAAAAAAAGGTAGTACTTTAGCTAATAAATTGCGGCCTTTTCAATTCATATATAATCTACAAAGCCCTGAATCAACAGAAAGAACTAAAACATGAGCAGTTGCTCTTCTCTTTGGCAAAATAGTGGATTATTGACAAAGAGAAAGATGGTTCACCGGAACTAGGGAGGAATGAGCCCGGTCCATCATCTGAAGGTAGAATGAGAGCCCCACATAAGGATCCCCCACGAAGACTGTCTGGCTGTCTTGGGACATGAAGCAGCATATTCCTGTGTTCATTTCGTCTACAGGAAAAAAAATTCCTACCAGCGCATGTAGAGTTTGTACTGCCCACGGGAAAAGAAGTGAAACGTGATACATATAAAAGTTTTGTGCGGTTCCACTCCATATAGGAAAATGTTTTACAACATACCACAATTTAAAAGGTGTCTTCATGTACATTAAGTTTCAAATAAGTAGAAAAAATATACTTGAGTTATGAACAAAATAAAACGCATCCGACTCCTTTCAAACTTAATAAATGGCAAACAAAGACTCTCTGCACGAAACACTAAAACTAGTAACCCGTCGGCAACGTGTTAAAGGACATCACACATTACTTACTATGGCTACGATACGAACTGTTGCGGGTCACTTTCTTGATGATCCTAATGTCCAAAACTGGCCCATATTCTGTTGTTTTCCAATGCTGTTAAGTATAATGACATCCTTTTGTTGGAACTTACAATCAGATCATAAAGATGTGCTCAGATCGAAGATTTATATGAATATTTTGCTCCAAAAAAGGGCTTTTACGGACCCTTTCCAGGAACGATTAGTTTTTGTCGGCATCACAATATCAAAATGTAGCCCTGATAGATTCCGTTCCATCACCACTTTATACAGATTATGACAGAAACATGACCTGTTGATTTGCATTTTCAAAATCTTTTAATAAAATGTACTAAACTCTCATCAGTCCGTTGTCCTAAAGGAAATGTTTCCATGATTTAATTTTAAACATAATCCTACATTTTATTCACTTCGATATGCATTTTAATGTTACAGTCAAAGTGAACACAGTTAATTATTTTCATAAATAATGTAACACATAATGAATTCTATTATCAAGAATTGGATTGTAGGGTGGAGAAAACAACGTTGAAGAGAACACAATCCAACATCCAACTCTGTGAAATACACTGATTCCATCTGTGGTTCACCTTCTGAGTCACTTTCCTGGCTGTTTGAAAAAAATACCATACCAGACATTTTATTCTTATTTAAACCATTGATCTTATGATAACAAAAACTAGAAGTGACGACCACTTGATCAAATCGTGTTATTTTCTATTTAAAATAGGCGTTTGTTTTCAATGTATATTTCAATACCCATTGAATAAACGATTTCCGCTATAATAAATATTATCGCATTCTTGTTTCATTAATTAAGTTCTGTTATTATTCAGAAAACGGTTTTCTATTCTCAAGATGATATTTATTTAAAGATATAACTATGGATATCCGGATTCCTTTATTATCATATTTTTTGAACAAGCAGCTGTTTCTCGGTGAATGTCATTGCATAATATTTCTCGTTGTTTTTCTGCTCCAATACGCTAGTTATCTCTATCATTTGTTTTGAAGCCTAAGTGAAATTCCACATTCATATATATATATATATACATTCATATATTGTCTGTTTTTATGAATCATTGTAATTTATTTACCAATAAAACTTTAAATTTAATTTGTAGACTGCTTAAATTTCCACTGATTGTGAAGTTGACACATATACGTATAGATAGATAGATGGGATAGGTAGATACATATCAATATGAAATTACTTAGTCTCTGGTTGTATAGTTGGAGTACTTTATATAGCAACAATAATGCATGTCTACGTGAACACAATTTGCGACTTGTTTGTATAATGTATGCGCTTTGTGAAGCAACAATAATGCATTTCACCAATAATAAGATCAGTCATAAAATAAACGTCAGTAATCAGAAAATCTTTGAACATTATCTCACTAATGGTAAGTGAAAACTTTCTTCAGAATACAATTCAAATCACTTGATCAATTTTCATTCAAAATAAATATTTAGTAATCATTAATTACTTGTCATAAAATATTATTACGTTTAATAAACAGTGTAAGAATTGAAAATTAAATGCTTTCCTTAGCATGTTTTATAAATTTTTACACCATCACGTTATTTGAAAGATAAAATCGGTTTTATCAGGAAATTAATGAATATATGCACTATTTTTTTCAGAACAATGTTTAGAGGAGATGTTTCTCATAACAGAAAATTAATTAAAAGTTTCTACAACTTTATTTACATAATGGGAACCATAACGTATTAACATCACGTTATGCGTTTTCTTGAGATTGGAACATTAGCCAAAACCTATTTTCTTTGTCAAAAGAATTTTAATTTCTTCATAATGACATTAGGCAATAAACAGTTATCACTGCTTGTAAAACTACCCACCCATTTTCATAAGAGTATCAAGCAAATGGTGTCATTGTATATTTTGATTGTTGAAACATTGTACCCTGAGGATATTAGTGAAAACCGAGACTGTTTTCACTAGATGTATATATAGCGGATTTTGTATTTCAGATGAGTCTTATCTTTCCATTAGTTAAAAAGTAACATTTTCCATAAGGAAAGTAATCAGGAATTCGCAACATTTATTAGATCACTAATCGAAATATAATCTCTATTCTACCAGGATAAAATAGCGTCAGATCATTAAGCAAAATAAATCTTGCGATTAGCATTGATTCTATTTCTTATTTGAGGCAGAAAGTAACCAAATGTTTTTGGTGACTTTGTTCTTTGTTAGATTTACAGAAGGAGTTTTGTTTAACAACCTTCATGTCTGTTAACTGCTTGAGAGCTGAATAACATTGCTAAATATCTCTGTAGATTTAATATACTTAAGATTCAATTTACTTATATCTAAAACTTCCTTCTGGGCTAATACTAAGATGGAGGTACACGAAAGTGGTTAGGAACGTCATCTAATCGGGAGTTCATCAGGCAAAATCGCAGCTTCACCAAAACTTTAATATCTGCACTACCTGATAAGAGCATCTTTCAACCAACATTTGTCATTGAACTCAAACTTCCTAATGGTTTTTAACATCAGTAGCTTAATTATATTAACTACAATATAAGAACACATTTAAAATAAGTTCGACTTGTTCAAACAACTACTGTATCTACCTTAGATTTAATATGACAAAACATATTCACATTTTTATTCAAAGCAAACATCGTCGGAAGGAAGAATCAACCCTTGATCAAAATAAATGACAGTTGGTGATTAATTCGCCATAAGAATGTTTTCAGGTAACTCAACTGGCTGACTTCAACACTTGTTTGTGTAAAATGGACCAGAAAATTGTATGTTAAATCTAATATTTTATGAAATAATTCAATCTGTACAACCACTCATTTCTGAACTTGTCCCATTTATCTTTAAGTATCATTGTTGTTTTCATTTGAAGTATCTTTATTTGGCTGTTTAGTGATGTAAACTACTGGAAGATAGTCATGTTGACAAACATAAGTAGCCACATTCTTGCACTAGTTTTATAATTACGTGTAAAGCATAAGCTGAAATTTTTAGGTTTCGTGAACAACATAAAATGAGAATCAATCATAAGTATTGAAGTTTTCGGTCTACTAGTAAAATGAACTCTTCTAAACCACAAGTTCATCACTATAATTATTGGATTTTCTCTTTAATGTGGAATTGGTATAAACACTTTAACTTAGTATGGTTTCTTCCAACAAAATTATTGTTTTCATATCCTCCTACCACACACACAAACAAAGATATAGTTAGGAAAATGTTGGAGACATTTAGGATACAGAAAACTATTTTTTAAAAATCACTGTAGGCATATTATTCTTCACAACAAGAAAATATGAAATTTTACTGAAATCAACGTTTTATCTTTTTTTATCAAGTAGTTTTTATTAAACTACATAATATGAAAATATTAAAACAAGTTTGTTTTGT